GTGATAGGGGTCAGGGGTCGCGGTTGGGGTCAGCGCCTGATCCCCCCCCCCCCGCTGCCGCCCAGTCACGTGACGCTTTTCAGCGTGGGGGGGGGTCACCAGGAGGCGCGCTCCGCCCTGTGATTGGCTGTGCCGCCGCGAGTCAGAACAACGCGCTTCTCGGACCCCCCCGCGCATGCGCATTAGTCTCCGTCCTCACCGGCGCCGCGTCACCCTAATTAAGGGGGGAGCGGAGCAGTTCCCCCGTCGAGCGCGAGCTGGGGGGTGTCCGCAGCCCCGCGGGTCTGTGTGGTGTCCAGCGATGGCCCGCAGGGCGGACATCCGAACTCTATGGTGTGGAGCTCAGGGAGAGCGGCTTCCCCCGCTGGCCGCTCTACCTGCGGGGCCGCCGGGACTCTGTGGTAGCGAGAAGAGCGATGAGCTCATTGGGACCTGTCTAGCTTCGGGTCCTCCGGACTCTATGGTGTGGAGCCCGGGACTCTGTGGTAGCAAGAACCTGGAGGAGGCGTCGAGATGGGCTCATTGGGGCCTGTCTAGCCTCGGGTCCTCCGGACTCTATGGTGTGGGGGAGGCTGGGGCCCCAGAGTACTGATGCAGCCTGGAAGCTGAGTAGCAGATCCAACCTCCGCAGCTGCTCGGCAGGGCCGGCTCCAGGGTTTTGACCGCCCCAAGCAGCCAAAAAAAAAAATCCAGCTTCTCACCCACTATAATCCCCAGGTCCTTTTCTGAAGACCTGCTGTTTAGCCAGTTGGTCCCCAGCCTGTAGCGGTTCATGGGATTCTTCCTTCCTAAGTGCAGGACTCTGCACTTGTCCTTGTTGAACCTCAGCAGATTTGTTTTGGCCCAATCCTCCAATTTGTCTAGGTCACTCTGGACCCTATCCCTACCCTCCAACATATCTACCTCTCCCCCCCATCTTAGTGTCATCTGTGAACTTGCTGAGGGTGCAATTAATCCCATCATCCAGATCATTAATAGATGTTGAACAAAACCAGCCCCAGGACTGACCTCTGGTGTGTATTTACATTATTATTAAAAAAAATATGGCATATAAACACTCCCACTTCCCTCCCTCTGAAATGGGGTGGGCTTGTTTTGACAGACCGTACCACTTTTTTTGTTTTGTTTTTTGAGACTTGGGAACATGCGAGGCATGCGGCCTGGGCCTGAGTGGCCTGGTCTGTGGGGCTGCTGTGGGCCTTGTACGTCATGGCCTGGGCCTGATTCTGGGTGGCCTGGCCATGCCATGTGCACCATGTACGTGACAGGCTGGGCCTGGGCATGAGCACCGAGGTGCTGGTTGGGTACTAACATGGTGGTGGGTGAATGAACATGTTGGCTGGTGAAGAATGAGCCCGTGGCCTGACTTGAGGAATGCTATTCACGTTAAAGCTGACCTGAAGAGAATCCAGCATTCGGCTAATAAGCTAATGCTCCTCCGACTCAGTCGTGGGGATTATCCTAGTGGCGTCTGATATTGAGAAACCTACTTCATTAGATTTCAGCTTTGAAATCCATCTGGCATGTGGGCAAATTAAAAGCTTGATCCCCTTTCCCACTTGCAGAAGTTGGTCCAATCAAAGCTATTACCTCACCCACCTTGTCTCCCCAATAGCGTGGGACCAGCACGGCTACAACCACCCCTGCATGATTAAACATTGTCAGTGATGGAGAACCCACGGCGACCCTTGGTAAGTTCTTCCAACAGTTACTCTCACTGTTAAACATTGTACCCCTTATTTCCAGTCTGAAATGGTCTAGCTTCAATTTCCAGCCATTGGACCGTGTTAGACCTTTCTCTGCTAGACTGAAGAGCCCATTATTAAATATTTTTCCCCATGTAGGTACTTATAGACTGATCATATCTCCCCTCAACTTTTTCTTTTTTTTAGCTAAATAGAGCAAGCTCCTTGAGTTGATCACTGAGGCAGGTTTTCTAATCCTTTAATCATTGTTGTGGCTCTTCTCTGAATCTTCTCTAATTTATCTACATCTTTCTTGAATTGCAGGCATCAGAACTGGACACAGGAATCCAGCAGTAGTTGCATGAGCGCCAGATACGGCGGTAAAATCACCTCTCTGCTCCTACTCGAGATTCCCGTTTATGCATCCCAGGATTGCATTAGCCCTTTTGACCACGGTGTGACACCGAGAGCTCATATTCAGCTGATTATCCAGCACCCCCAAATCACTCTGAGACACTGCTTCAGGATAGAGTCCCCCACCCTGTAAATATGGCCTGCCTGCCTTTGTTCCTAGCAGCATACATGTACATTTAGCTGTATTAAAATGCACATTGTTTGCTTGTACCCAATTTCCCAAACTATTCAGATGGTTCTGAATTCGTGACCTGTCCCCTTGATTATTTACCACTTCTCGAATTTTTATGTTGGCTGCAAATTTTAATAGTCATTTTTTTTCCAGGTCATGGATAAAAATGTTAAATAGCATAGGGCCAAGACCTGATCCCTGCAAGACCCCGTAAGAAACACACCTGCGCCTTCCCTGTTTAGATACCTTCGGAGACCTAGTAGTTAACCAGTTTTTAAACCATTGAATGTGTGCTATGTTAATTTTATATCATTGTAGTTCTTTAATTAAAATGTTGTGCAGCACCAAGTCAAACATCTAAGACTATGGTCTACATTAGAGACCTTACAGTGGCGGAGCTGTACTGATGCAGCTGTGCTGCTGTAAGATCTTCCACGTAGCCGCTCTATGCTGACAGAAGAGAGCTCTCCCGCTGGCGTAATTAAACTAGCTACCACCGCTCGTTGGGGGTATGTCGGCGGAAGACTGTCTCTCGCCGACATAGCGCTGTCCGTGCCGGCACTTCTGTCGGTGTAACTTATGTCAATCGGGGTGTGTTTTTGTTTCTTCCCCACGCCCCTGAGCAACATAGCCTTTTGGTTGTTAAAAATTATGTCTATACTAGCACAAGTATATTATGTCAAACCTATTACCTTTTATCAACCGAACTTGTAATCTCATCAATAAAGATATCTAAGTTAGTTTGACAGGAACTGTTTTCCATAAACCCCTATTGATTGGCATTAATTATATTATCCTCCTTTTTAATTCTTTCTTAATCAAATCCCATACGAGGCATTCTGTTATCTTGCTGAGGATCAGTGTCAGGCTGTCAGGCCTATAATTACCTAGGTTAGCATGTTTACTCTTTTTTAAAATATTGACACACCATTAGCTTTTGTCCAGAACCTCCCCAGTATTTCAAGACTTAATTGAAAAGAAAAATGAACAATCCAGCAAGCTCCTCAACCAGCTCTTTTAAAACTCTTGGATGCAAGTTATCTGGAACCGTTTGATTTAAAAGTGTCTGACTTTAGTAGCTTCTGTTTAGTGTCCTTCAGAGATACGAGTGGAACAGAAATATTTATTGAACACTTCTGCCTTTTCTGCATTATGATTGATAATTCTACTATTTGCATCTACTAATGGATGAATACTATTGCCAGGATTCTTTTTGCTTTGTAATATATTTCAAAAACTTCTTATTGTCTGTAATTCTGCTGACCACAAATTTCTCCTTGTGTCCCTTTGTTTCCCTTATCAGAAGTTAGGAACTGTAGAAAACTGATTTCTATTCATTACTATCAACTTCCCCTTTCTTCCATTTGTTCTATTATTTTTTTTATAGCCGCCTTCACTTCTCCACTAAAGCAGATCTGTTTTTTAACTAGTGTGGCCTTCTTCCTCAATTTTGGTTTTGGGGGAACCTAGTAAATTGTTCTTAAAGGATTCCCTGTTATCAGTCACATTTTTCTCATTAAATTTGTCCTCCCAACTGATTTGGCTCATAATTGTGTTCAGTTTTGTGAAACTGACCTATTTAAAGCACCAAGTGTATATATATCAATGATCTGGACTTTACTTGATCACTTTTATAATGTGCAAGCAGCATAATGATCACTTGTACCTAAGCCACCGTTAATTTTTAGTTCTGTAATCAGTTCCTCTTTATGGTTTAAGAATTCCCCTGTGTTAATTGCAACACTTTTTTGAGTTAGGAAATTGTCATCTATAATGTTTGGAAACTCCAAGGATGTTTTAGTACTGGCAGCATGTAGAGTGGCCAGATGTCCTGATTTTGTAGGGACAGGTTGTTATTCACAGCTTTGTCTTATGTAGGTGCCTATTACCCCGACCCGGTCCTGATTTTTCACCCTTGCTATCTGGTCACCCTAGCAGCATGAGACCTTCATTATGTGTCATTCAAACTGAAGTCCCCTGTGATCAGAGGTTTTTTTTCCCTACAGTTTTAGGTAGGTGTATAAGCAGCTGGTCCCGTTCCCGAGTGTGATGTGGGGGGCTGTGGCAGACACCATCTAATATTCCATCTTGTGCTTTGTGGGAGGACATTGATCCATAAGCATTTAAAATAATTTTTCTTGTGTGATATTGGTGCCTCAGAAGCAAGTAATGCTGTTTGTGAGTGTGACACTCTGTATCTCAGGAGAACACCCTGCACCCCCATGTTCATCCTTATAATATGATTGTGTGGTATCTAATGCAAAGTTTGTCATGTCTGATGTCTTCAGAAGGCTTATGATGCACTGAGCATTGTTATAGTAATTAATTGTTACAGTAATGTTATAGGTATGAGGCTGAAAATGTGTCCTCATGGCTTAAAACAAGCACAGGCGAACACTCTCCAGAAGCAGAGGGGCAGTTCACACCTCATCAGGGCAGGTATTGGACAAATCCAGCCCAGCCTCACAGAAACAAAGGACACTGGCCTAGGCAGCAACAAAGGATCTGTTGGACTCTCGAGTGAGTCACCCCCTTCCTTTGGTCAGTTTGGGACTACAGTGAGGTAATGCTCACCTGACTCTGAAAGGGGGGGTGGGGTAAAGCCAAGAGGAAAGAAAGAACATGATAAAAGAGAGAGATGTTTGCTATGCTCTCTCTCTCTCTCTCCCACCTCCATCTACAGACTCCCCCACCAAGCCCCTGAAGCGCTGATCAAAGGGGAGAGCCTGGCTGAAGAGCAACCGGCCAGCCTGCAGTGAGAAGCATCTAAAGTTTGTAAGGGCACCGAAAGCGTTAAGATCAGCTTAGAATGCGTTTTGCTTTTATTTCATTGGACCAAATTTGACTTCTTATGCTTTGACTTATAATCACCTGAAATCTATCTTTTGTAGTTAATAAATTTGTGTATTCTACCTGTTAGGCAAGAGTTAAAAATTCAGTCAGAATCTCCTTGCTTTGCATACCTGAAGCAGTGTTTTGTTTGAAGCGTGTCAGAGACTCCCCTTGGGATAACAAGCCTGGTACATATTGATTTCTTTGTTAAATTGATGAATTCCTATAAGCTTGCAGCATCCAGCGGGCATAACTGGACACTGCAAGATGGAGGTTCCTAGGGTTGTGTCTAGGACCAGAGTTATTGGCTAGTGTCATTCACTTGCACAATCCAAGTAGCAGCTAGCCAAAAGTGCTCACTCATGTAGCTGGGCGCAGCTTACAGGCCAGAGGCTGTGCGTGAACAGCCCGGGAGTGGGAGTTCTCACAGCAGAGCAGGGGAAGGCTGGCTCCCAGAGTCGAGGATTGGGGTGACCTAGCAGATCACTGGTCCAGATAACACCAAGGGAGCATCACGGGGACGTAGAGCACCCCTACCCCTCTGCCCACCTGAGTCTTCCTGACTAGGTTATCACCACGGATTAACGTTCCAGTCAGGCAAATGATTCCAACTAGGTTTCAATAATACCAACTAGATTGAATTTATGCTAAGAGGAACTAGCATTGCTCAATTGTTTGTTAACCACAGGCCTGGCAGTGGTAGACTATTCAAAAATCATGGAGGGAGAGATTGTGGAGCATAGGAAGGGAGCTGGGGGGATGTGGGGGTGGGACAGTTGGGATAAATGGAAATTTACTCTAAGTGTGAGCTCAGTTGTAAAACACGTGTGTAAGTGCAGAAGATATCACAATAAGCCGCAACCACAAGTGGGGACGGGAAAAGGGGCTTGGGAGACAGAATGACTGACTGAATCAGGCCAAACAAAAAGGCCTCCTGCTCTAACTCTCCCCCCCCCCCCCGGCCCTCCCCCCCCCCCCCCCCCACACACACCCCCATCCATTCTCCTCCCCTTGTGTGTAAGGACAATGCTGGGAGCAGCAGAACCTCAGCCCCCTCCACCCCCCACATATAAAGCCCCATGGTTGAGATTCTGAGGTTCAGCCCCCTGCTACAAGCTGATCCATCCCCACCCTCCCCCCATAGCAGGGACCCTTGGAGTTCACAGACAGCCCCTAGAGCAGGGGGTTCTCATACTGGGGGTCAGGACCTCTCAGGGGGTCACAAGGTTATTAAATGGGGGGTTGTGAGCTGTCAACCTCCACCCCAAATCCCGCTTTGCCTCCAGCATTTATAAAGGTGTTAAATATATAAAAAAGTGTTTTTAATTTATAAGGGGGGGGGGTGTCGCACTCACAGGCTTGCTGTGTGAAAGGGGTCACCAGTAAAAAAATTTGAGAGTCACTGTCCTAGAGCCTGGTGGGAGAGATGCATGTTGCCTGCCAGTGACAAACACCCTACCACCCTGGAGCCTTGCAGCATTGGGGGCTGGGCTAGCTCCACCTAGGGCTAAAGGCAACCCTCCATGGTGACCCCAGACATGCCCCAGCATGTCCCTCATCTAGCCACCCTTCAGGGAGGGCTGTGTGGCCCTCCACTGCACGCCTACAGGGTCCAAATCTAGTGTGAGGGCCCTGTACCGACCTACGGGGAGTGAGCCCTGGCTATGGCAGAGTCACAAGGCCAGGCCTGCAGGGGCTGTATTCCCGGGATCTGGCAGCAGAGTGCCATGCCCGAGAGCTCTTTGGGCAGGTTTCCCTGCCCAGCCCTTCTCCTTGACCACAGGGGCAGAGGAAACAGCAACGGTGGGGGAGAGCATGTCTAAGGAGCCAGAGTTCAGCCCAGCCTGTGTGCTGAAAGCTGTAGGGTCCCCTGGGCCTGCCAGCAGGAGGGGGTTTAGCTGCCAGTTCAGTAGCCCCATGTGGGACTCGGCCTGAGGAAGGTACTTCTCCCCCCTGCCCCTCACTCCCAGGGCCAGCCCCTCTGGCAATGGCTTTGGCAAAGCCATGGCCTAGGTGGGGCGAGCACAGACCTTGCAGCTTCCTCCTGGTCAAAGGGAAGGTGTGTGGTGCAGATGGAGCCACAGGGCAGTAATGGCACATGCCCAAGGGCCTGGCTGGTGTCCTGAAAATCCTAGGAAGCCAAGTTGGTGCCACTGTCTCATTCGTGCCATCTAGCCAAGGCTGGTGCCTGGAGGACCCAGCTCTGGGGCACTGCCCCATTCTCCCCACACAGGTCAATGCCCATGGCTGAAGAAGCCAGTGCAGTAGAACTGCACCCTGGGCCATGCTGGCAGCTGGAGGACCCAGCCCAGCTGTGCTCTGGGATGACTGCATATACTGGAGCGTGCGGGGGAAGGGTCCTGACCCTACAGGCTCAATGCCCAGCTCAAGGTTGGTCCCTGCTTTCAATTGGTCCTGGCCTCCTGCCAGGCAGGAGGAGGGGATGAGGCCAAGCCCCTCCTCGGGGAGTAGCGTGGTTCTGCTATGGCTGCCCAGAATACACCCAACACCTCCATGCCAGGAAAAGAACCATCCCTGCTGCACCAACAGCTGAAAAAGCTGCAGCCAGAGAGGCGGCAGAGCAGGGGCTGCAGGAGCCTCTTCTGGGGCCTCCTCAGGGTGCCAGGCCAAGCCAAAAGGGCTCCCCCCCCACACACACACCCCAGCAGGGGCAGCGCTTGCCAGTCAGGGGCTCCCGGAGGCTCTCTCCTGTGTGAAGGGACGGAGAGTGGGCATAGATGCAGGCCAGCAGCGAGCCTGGCCCAACCCTCTGAAGTGCTACCTGCACATCCCTCTTCTCCCTGCTCCTTCGGCCCCGAAGACTGGACCTGAGCAATCCCTGCCAAGGAGCACTGGGTGCGAAGGGGCCCAGGAGAGGCCAAGCAGCTCCTGGGACAGAGCCACAGGGGAGGGGCAGCAGTGGCTCACTCCAGGGTCCCCAGGGCCTGCCCCCAGTAACACTAGCATTGTCTAAGGGACATGGGCCATCTTTCCATGGATCCCACACCCGCTCTGAGCATCCCTGGCAGGTGGGGGCTCCAGCCCTGCACCCACCCTTGGCCCAACCCCCAGCTCCCCAAAGTCAGCAGTGACAGGCTGGGGGAGCCTCTGTCTGGGGCTATGCAGAAGCCCCACTAGAGTCAGAGCGGTCTCTGCCAACCAGGCACCTGCCCGGCCGAG